ATATGTAATTATTTTTAATTTGGGCCCTTATCCGTAATTATTTTCACTTTTCAGGCCCTTATTTGTAAATTCCCCTATTTTTTATCATCATACGTCTTTTTGAAGTTAAAATTATCCAATAGGTTTCGGTCTCAGTTATCAGCCGCCACGTTTTAAAAACGTTTTTTTATTTTTACCAATGATAAACTAAATAAACTATGTATATGTGTACATAATTGATTTATTATTAATAATAAAAGTACTTTTTTTTTTATTTTCAAATAAAATCAAAAAATCAGGATCCCCATTTTATTATGAACTAGTAAGGCAACGATCTTGTTTTCACTATCCAGCATATTAAATGATCCTAAAAATATGGAATATTCACCCGAGAAATTAGAGACGAATTTTTGGTTGTGAAATCGGCTTCGGTTCAAAATTAGTTAAATTAAATTAGAAGATTAAATAGAAACAAATTATTAACATTGTAATAAATGTAATAAATAATATGAAAAGATAGCGTTAGTGCTCGGCACAATCAAACAAAAATTTGACAGTCAATAATAATTTAAGTTAAACCAGTATTGTTATAGAGATCTTAAAGATAATACTATATGGGATTATCTTCAAGGCCTCATACAATACGATACTGGTTTAACGTAAATTATGGATGCCCCCATACTTGTGATTAAGTCGGGCTCGCAGATTAACCAATACTACATATATACGTATGTACAGTACAGTACGTATATAGTATCGATTAATCTGCGATTGTTTGATATCCGACTTAATCACAAGTATTTGACTGTCGAATTTTTGTTTGATTGTGCCGAACACTATGTAGTTACAGTAACAAATAAAATTATGACTTTTTTTTAAATTTATATTAACCTATATATAATATATAATACTTAAGCACGTACGAATAAATAAAATTACGTTATTCTTTATACGTACGTAGAATTACGAATACATGTATTATGACATAGGCGCATAATACGTATATTTAAACGGCATTACTAGACACATAGTACGACGGGTACGTATTATGACGTATTTTGGGGTTTAATACTATGTTAGGGTAAAACCTATTTCGAAAATGGTGAAAGACGAAATCTAAGCCTAAAAAAGACAATTTCTGACAAAAATATCGAAACATCGAGACCTTGATGAATTATCTCACAAGTGCCTGTTTCATGGTCCCAAGCCATTCGGACTTAAATTAGAATTAACTAATAACAATATATATATATATTCCTTAGATCAAATAATATATCGTATTAACGATTATATGCCATGGATTTGGCGTACTTGGACGATGACAATATCATAATGTCATGTGATATTTTCATATGATATAGAATCATATGAATCTATGCCATATGATATAGATCATGCATATTATTAGCACTTCATAATATGTAGGGCTCCGCATGGGCCGGCCCATAGGTTTTTTCTGGGTCATTTCCCAAAGTGCTAGTCATATGATTATTCGCCATATGACCAGCACTTTGAGGGATGGCTCAAATTAGCTTCAAAAAAAGCCCATGGACCAGCCCGTGCGGAGGCCTAATAATATGACAAATAATATAAGTCATGTCATTTATATGACATAATCGTCCAACACCGTACTCTGGAGATTTCTCCCATCAAAAAAACACAGGCGCTTGATGACTAAGGAGAACTTTTTGTTAGTGCACAAAAGGCAGTTTCTTTGAAAAATAGATGATCTTTTTCAGAGAACATTCGTTTCGGATTTTCCTAATTGTTCTATCAAATGTAGTGTATAACATCTTTTTTTTTTATATGACCTTGGTCATATAATCATATGGATTTTGGTCATATGTTCATATCAAAAACATTACTAAAAAGATTTATTTACTATGATTCTTACTATATTAAGGTCATCGGCCAACACTGATCAAATGGTGTCTTTGCCTTGTAAATCACCCTCGGGACGTCTCCGATCGGGCTAATCCAGACAAAAACAAACCCGAGCATCAGGTTCATGTTTATATGTAAATTCAATAGTTTATTCGGTAAATTATTGAATCAATAAAGGCGAAGGAGACTTACATATAAACATGAACCTGATGCTCGGGTTTGTTTTTGTCTGAATTAGCCCGATCGGAGACGTCCGAGAGGGATTTACCCCTAAATTAGAGCTGAGATCCGTGAATACGTATCTATTCCGCTACAGAAAATTCATGAGTGAAAATTAGATTATATTAGATATGATATAGTCGTGAATATTCGATGAAATATTTGTTTAGAATTAATACAGTATAACCAGAATATTCAATGAATATCCATAAATTCTTTTACGGGTAGTTATCCCATAGATATTCATTCAATACTATTTGTGGATTACTAAAACCGTGAATATCATTGAATACGGATAAAGAGTATAAAAATATATAGTTTTTCCATAGAGTTGAAATGCTCACAATGAAAAGTCTTTTTATGCCCATTAAACCTTCATTGAGTTTCTAACAAAGATATAGAGCAAGTTATTCTTTAAATGCGCCTTTTATCAAGTAATACCCACCATTCTAGCCGTATAAAGGCGAAATAACGCCCAGGGATGTAATTTCAAACTTTGGCCTAAATTAAACTTAATTTTGGTCATTATTCAAAATAACACCTTTGGGAGTTTTATACGGTAGAATATGCGATTATTAATTGATAAAGACGTATTTAAAGAATTAAAATTAGTTTACTAAATTAAAAAATAATTAAATATTTAAATTTTGAAAAGACGTTCTTTTAATAGTAATTTAATACTGTAATATGAATCAAAATTTGCTTATCACAGTGTCTGAAATTTATAAGTTTCCGCAACAAAAATCTGAAATGCATATGTAGAAATGTTCGAATTTGCATATAGATATATTCACATGCGCAACTAAACTCATATAATCCGCAAGTAGATTTTTATTTAGTTGTGGGCCCGCAACTAAATTAAAAATTGAATTTCAGACACTTGACACCCTAGTGGAATTATTTCCTCGTAACATTTTTGATTAAAATTTTTACTGATGACGTAATTTTCATGAAATAATCTGATATTTTCACGGCATTACGTCATCATAAAAATATCCACGGACGAACATTAGGGGTCATGGAATATAATATATTTTTTAGCCTTCATTGGCTAGTCAATTTTTAGTTTCGCCACATTTCGTCAGTTTCACCACATTTCTCCAGTTCCGCCATTTCTCCTTTCTGAAATTTTTTTAGTGAAGGTAAGGTCGAAACTAGGGTTTCACCTTTCGCAAACGCAAAACCTAGGTTTCGCCTAACAACAAATCATAAAATAATTATGCACTTAATGATGTTACCTAAACTGTTTGGAATGACTCAACATTTTATTGGTCTCACTTTCGATAATAAGGTATATATAATATTAAATTATTACATTAAACATTATATTGAAATGATATTGATTTGTACCAGATATTTACAATAAGTAAGAATGTTTAGCCAATCAGAAATAAAAAACGAACACATGTTTGTTATCTTGAAATTTATCTAATTTAGTTATAAATTGTTATGCAAAAATTAAGTAAATGTGTATTGTGTACTACAAATTAATAATTATATAAATAACAGATAATAAATAATGTAGTTAATTTTTACATCATTTTTATTTATTATACAAATAAAAAGAACAAGATATTTGTTTCGATTATCAAAGATTATCCGATTGGAGAGTAATATTGATTCCGAGGGACGATACCTATTTAACGTGATAATGTGATGCTGGATAATTGGACAAAGTTAAAGAAAGAAGGTGAAACCTGTTTCTGTATCAAAAACAATGAGACCATTTATTAAATAAAATTTTTTCCTTATTAATCGTTGTATTGTTTAATCTAATCTTAGATATATATATATTTTGACACAGCCCATTATAAAGAATCTGCGCAATACGAAATTACGTGGTTTTGCTCATATGACCTTTAGGCGACTTTTATTATTAATTTTTTTTTTTTGAGAAAGATTGTGCGCCATCGCATTGATGACATTTTAACAAAGAAAATTTGAAAAATTATGAAGTCTAAACTATTATTGTTGATATTACAAAGTAGAATGAAGAGTAAAAATATATACTTTTGTCAATACTCGCAAATATATGAAAAAAAGAAAGAAAAAAACATAATTTATACAGTGAATTATAAAATTTTGTAGTATTTAACATTTAGCAAAGAAAAAAAAAAATTCGACAATGTCCATAACTAAAAAATAGTTTCAATTTCAGTACTATAATAATAGTATAAATCTTTTTTGTAATTAAGAAATTTCCAATACCCGAATAATCGCAGTTCTACTGACTTTCTATGAAAATATAACCAAATCTAATGAATATGATTACATTTGATATTAAATTTGCCAGAAACTACGTCCGAAAGAAAATTTTCCTTAAAATTTCATCGACGATTGATTATAACAATTTATTACTTGATATTTGAATTCTATATATACAAAAAAAAAAAAAAAATCACAGCTTTTTTGTAATGATCAAAAGCTTATGTGATATATGAATTTTATAAGTCAATCAATCGACTAAGCCGAAAATTAGTTTCAGCCGATCATACATTATTGGCCGGAATCACTAAATTTCAATTATTGATAGTTTCCAATAAAATCCTCACGATTGTTTTCAAAAAATTCCCTCAAGCTCTTTCCTGCACCGCCCGTAATTATCTCTAAGTCACGAGTTACTTGAGCTCTTCGAGAAGCACCAACATAACCTTGTAATCCCCATAATTCTAAAAGGTAAGCAGCTACTTCTCTGTTAGAGGTTATATCCATCAACATACGTTGTAATTGTCTGATTGACATTAATTCAACTTTAATCTCACGACCTAGACCTAGCGACGCTTTAACAGCAATTTCTTGAGTTGTCAACAGGTTTGGACCTGTTATCTTGTATTCTTTACCACCATATCGTTGTACAGGACAATAAAGAACATAACATAGCGCACGGACGATGTCGCTAACGTCACAACATTCAAAGATCGCGTTGGGATTATCAATCATCGGTATTTGCGATTTTTCACATATGTATCGCGAGAAACGTAACAAATGTTGACTTATCACACCGGGATATCTAATAATTGTTATTTGTGAAGCATCAAAAGAATTTTTCAAAGTTGATTCAATTATTTCAAATAGATCTCGATATGATCTATTTGGAATTGCATAATCCTCAGAATCATCAGAGGGAGTCAACGGCGGTGAATATGGAGCATCAACTTTTGCAAATGGAGTAGGAAATATGATGTGTTCTACATTAGCTTCTTTAGCCGCGTTTATATATCTAAAATAAACAGTAATTGATAATTTACATGTGAATATAATTATAATTGATAATATGTAAAAAAAAATTATAGTAAAAAGACAAGTAAATTCGATTACTAATCGAATTGTAAAGTAAACCACGTGACAGCCATAATACATACCCTTCTGCGAAAGCAAGTAAATTTTTTCGTGTAATTTCACCACTTAGAGGGTCAATTAATAAAAGTAATTTTGACGCACTATTTAGAATACGAACAATAGATTCTGGTTGAGTTATAGGTTCAACTTCGAAAACCAAAGCTCCTCTTTCTTCTAATTCGATTGATTTCATTGTTTCACGGTGTACTCCAGCATGAACAGGAGTATTTGAAAGGTGAGAATGAAGGTTTGGCATTTCCAAAAGACTCCGAACAATTAAAGTGCCTTTAAAAAATTGAACAAAAATTTATCATTAAACACGCGAATGATAATATGATAGTTTTTCGAAAAAGTTTTTTTTTTTTTTTATTTAAAAGCATACCGAGATCACCGTCAGCTCCAGAAACATGTATAGCATTTTTTGGATACATTTTTTTTTTCGAACGCTTCTAGCGTAAAGTAAACAAAATCTCGAAGAAAAAATTTATATATTTAAAAAAAAAAATTTTTTGTTTTGCTTTGTGGGGGGAGAATAGAAATTATGCGGGCTTATATATAATATTTCAAAATCTAGATTTACCAAATTTAGTACTGTCGGAGATTTTATTGGTTAGTCTGTTAGGATTATCTTACAGCCTTAACCGAATCTCTTTCAAGAGTCTTTATGTCAAAAAATTCACAAGATCTGACCACCGAATATGTAACGATATGACAGTATGAAACTCACGTGGTATAATCATAATTTGTTAATTTGTAGATTGGTTATTTATTTACTATCTTTATTACGTTATCTCTAAGATCAGATTGCCCTCTGCATTCTAATCGTATTAACCTTATCTATCGTTATAAGAATCCAGGTAATCCAACCCAACATGAAATTAAAAATCCCATTGAATTTCCATTTGGGGAAGAAGAGAAACCTATGAGTCAAAAAGACGCAACCACGAGTCATGATGAAAATAAAGCAGTTTTTAAGGATTGTAAGATTTCTTATCAGTATCATGCACACAAAAATGCCGAATGTGCATTTGCACAACACTTCATTTTGTATTGGTTAAATGTTGATCAATAATTTCATGGTTTCCTTATCTTTAATCACACGATCAATAAACAAAAAAAGATCAGATAAGTAAGCATTTTAAAAAAAAAAACTGAAAGATTTTGATTGATATCGATATGTACATATTATGACCGCAGTATGCTTTATGTATAAATGCTTTATGCAAATATATCGATATAAAATATAAAATCGATCAGTATTACTGTATTATAGGAGAAAACAAAGCGTCTATCCTATATATATATATATGTGTATATATATAACTAGTTAAAAAAAAGTGGACTAAACGCCAAAATTAAAATAAATTCCTAATTAGTAATCCATTATCTAATAGAAAAAATTTTCGTTGACCAATCAAACTTTTCAAGATTAAAAATGCAAAAAAAAAAAAAAAAAAAAAATTTTTGCAACTTAAATTTTACCTACAAAATTACCTTCTGTGTACATTCCTCGCAAACTATAATTTTTTAGCTTCACTCTCTTAGTTCTTCTACTCTAATAATATTTCTAATTCTATTCTCAGTCAATTTTTTAAATTTGAAACGATCTTATAAAATCTGCAAAAATAAACATGCCATAAAAATTTGTAATACGAAATATATATATTTTGTATAAAAAACGTTTCAATTCTCATTTACGTAAATCTTAAATCTGAGATCTTCGTTAATTAAAATTGCAAATACCGAAGGAGTTATTTAAAACTTTAAATTAGATGATATATATTTATAAATTGCATCTGATTATAAATATTACCGAATAGAACTGTATTTAGGGGTTGATATTTGCTGTATCATGATTCCCCAAACTCAATTCAAACCTAACGCTAAATATATCTGTTCCTTATTTGCATGTCAAAAGTCTAAACATATGACAGGATTCAATAGCGTCGATCTGTCTATGCTTTGTTGAATCTATAGTGCCGCACAAAAATGCGTGGCAGATCCTTGATATTGATTAGCTATACTTTACTATGTGACGATCCTTTTGTTAACTTTAAAAAATTCAATAACCTAATGTTTTAAGCCAGCCGCTTAGCTGCTTAGCCGGTTAATCTATACGTTGTTATGAATGTTATGAATGCTTGAGAGAGCGACCCGAACCAATGCACAGTTTAACCCCAGTCGTAACTCTGGATTGAATTATTGAATTAGATAACATTCTCATCTAATCGAGAGAGGCTCGATTGTCAACGAATGATAATGAGAAATTATTATTTGATGGAAAGCTCTTAAACATTTCTCTAATTTATTAACTAGGACTACTGAGACTTTTATATATTTAGAGATTTATAAGATACAATTCCTGGAAGGCTTTCACACTAGCCTCACACAGCCTAACACAGCCTAATATACAAACCTTTAACAGTGTATTAATATTTTGACTTTTTCTTCCATGCTATGTATAATTTTCAGGCTCCCAACAATAATTATGTTTACATCTCATGATATATTAAATCATAACTGATTAGAATTCACTTAATTAATACCATAATTGTGATTTTAGGTTTAACAAGTTATCGAATACATTTAATTTTATACTCCTCTATTATATTCACGTGAATAAAAACCTTAAAAGAAACATTTACTATATAAAAATAAATACTACAAACTTGTGTATATTAATAGTCTTTATTTTTTACTAAATGAACACAATGAAATATTTACAATAATCTGGTTTTAATTGGATTTTCTAGTCCTAGCTATATTTAAGCAGTATATCATGTAAATATAATATAAGCTTACTATATATAAATAAATAAATAAAATTAAAGGTATATATATATATATAATTATTACTATCCATTGTTTTGATCTCGTGTGTAGACATCAGACCAGGGGGGCACTTTAAGAAGAGTGAACCCAGTGATGATCACAAATTTGTATCACCCTCAATATAATCACATACAATTTTGATTGGTCAAAAAATATAAACATCACATAATAGATAAGATAACTAGTTTGTGTAACTATATACGTAAGCATTACTGCATTATTTCCCAGGACCTCGTCGTTACAGCATTTCGCTAATTAGGTTAGAGGAACTTTACTAATACTAAGAAAATTTGAGTTGCGAAGGGTTTGTTATTTTTATGTTTCTTTTGAAGATTTCTACTAATACAAAAATAGTTTACTTGTATTATGTGTCTTTTTTATTAGTGACAAATCTTTGAGATTCTTATCAATTTGATATCAGCACCTGCATTTAGCGTTGTTAATTTTCCTTCTAGTAGGAAATTTTTATGTTTCCAGTAGTGTAAACATTCCAGTGACCTTATTAATTTACTTCAGTAAGCTTTCAGTGAGCTTCTAGTGACAACACTATCTGCATTAGAATATTGTCATTGATCTGTCGCTTTGTATATATTTCTGTCCAGCGATTTGAATTAATTATTAGTAAGTTATTATTTAATTATTATAATTATATATATTGTATATAAAATCTTAACTCAATTTTAATAATAAGGTATATCTACAGAGGCTTTATTTTTTTAGAAAACTTCAGTATCCAATTTATTTTAGTTTTTCTCTGTGAATTAGTTGAATTTATTTAATAGAGTCTAAAGCTTTCTAGTTATGATTTTATTTTTCTTATATTTATAGAACATGCGCAATCTAGTGGAGCTACTTTGATTTTAAAGATTCTAGTTCTCCTAATGAGAATGCATTAGTTTCACTTATTAAGCGTGATGGTTTGCAAATTGAAGAGATAAATATTTGGCATTATGCTATAATACTGGTTTGATGAAACTTTATGGCTTACAAAGATTATTTGGTAATACTAGATTACTTATTATTATAATGTATAAATTGGCATAATATTTAATAAGGTATTTGTGCCTTTTTTTTAACTTGTCTGTTGTATATATAATAATAGCATTTAATTTATTTAATTTATAATTTATTACAAGAGTGCAAGTTCAAATTTTTTTTGAAAGATAAAATTATACATATATTATTGTTTGTATGATGGGCAATTTAAAAATAATCAATAAATTTATAATTTTATTTTCTAAAATAGGGGACGTCTAAAGCGGAGTAGATTCTTATAATATCTATTTCATCGAATTAACTTTAGGGTTATGGTCATCTTGAATTACAGTTAGAGCAGACTTTAGATAGTTATATATAAGCAAAATTGCCTTCCCGACATTTTTACTTAGCTTACCCAAGGTAGGTTTAGACTGCCATTTTTTGTATTTTCAAGTTTTTCGCTTTTTTTTTTCTTGTTTTGCTTCGTCGGCGATCATCAAAATTCTATAATTTGATTGGTCGTATATCACGTGATTCTGCTCCGCTTTAGACGACCCTTTAATAAGACTTTAATATGACGAGATGATCTTCAAAAATCAACCAATCATAATAAAGCCCGCTATGCTTAGCTACTTGGTATAATGAACTCTCTGGATTTAAAGAATTCAAAAATTTAGGGAGAAAAAAGTTCGTCATAAAGAATATAAGGAGTATCTAATAGAGTTGATGGTTTTTTTTCAGAAAGCTTCTTTTTTTTTTCTGGAAAAGTGAATCTATCTCAAAAACGGTTGATCATAATTTTTTCAGTGTTAATAAAAACTTTTTTATGAATGTAAAAATGGGTATGAGGGGTTAATAAACGATGAAAATTTTTTAATAGATAAGCTAGATTTTTGTCTCATTAATTTAAAAATGTACAAGGTAATTTAATGTAATTGAAAACTTTACAATGAATATAAAAGTGACATGAAATTTTATTTTTTGTAAACCATACACTTCGTACTTCGTACTCAGTTCCTGGTATAAAGAGAATTGCTAATATCACATGACCATATCTCTGCCTTAATGTAGGCAGAGATAAGGTCATGTGAATCAACCCTTCAAGATTCATATTGATATATAATTAATATTAATTAATTCGTAACTTTGGTAACGGTAATTTAGTAGAATTAATTCATAACTCTGGTAAACATAATTTGGTAGATAGAGATAATTCGTTAAATAAAGCAATTTGTCAATTCTGGTAAATATAAATTATTCGTAACTGGTAAAAACAATTCTGTAGAACTAATTTATGACTTTGGTAAACATAACTCTAATGTGCATTATATTTATTAAAATCAAAAAGAGTAACTTCGAACTTTTTGTCACGTGAAACAAAAAGTTCGAAGTTACTCTTTTTGATTTTAATAAATATAATGCATCAAAAACGTAACATTTACACATTGAAATCGTGTAACACATTTTTTTAGTCAGTGTGTACTTATTTGTGCGAGTGATACAAATCCAAAAAGGGAAATTAGCCAATCGGAGAATGTAAAATATGATGATCCCGGATCAGCCCGACACGTGAGCAAAGCGAAGAAAAACGCAAAAAAAAACCGAAAAAGAGAAAATACTCAAAAACTAGTGTTTAAATCGACCTTGTTGGACTAATGAAAAATAACAGGAACGAAATTTTACATATAAAAAACTCATATTATCACTAAAGCTCACAACCCTAACACTAACCCTAACGCTAACCCTAACGTCCTAATCACTAAACTTTCTTAGTTTATTTACAAATGCAATTTCCTTTTTGGGTTTGTACCACTCGCAAAAATAAGTATTTCGGGACTGCACGGCCTAAAGCAGCGAGTCGGTCGCTAATCAAATCAAGGCTTTGTGTAACCTACGTTTGGCTTAGTCGAAGAGGCGTTTAGATTTGGCGAGTGGGTGATTTTATACGTAGGTATATCTCCTTACAACTTATGTTGGAAGTGGTTTATGGAACACTAACACTGATACTATCGGTTACAATATCTCTAACGAAACCACGGCTTGAGTTCTTCCACTAAGATCCTCAATCTAACCACAGATTCCACAGCACGTTGGGAAACTGGAAAACAACCACAACTAATCCACAATACGTTGGGATAGTTGGACAACCACGGTAGTTCTCAGTCCGTCGAGAATCAACCGGAAAACAATCTTCTTTCAAAGTCACGTGAGCAAGACAATCGATGGATGAAGATCTTTCACTATGCTATAGTGATTGATCAGGGTAAGAGGTATTTTAGTATAGCGGGTTTATTTAGAGACTTGGGTTTATATGGGTCAATTGGGTCAATTGGGTAGTTTTTATTAGGGATCGATAGTTATAAGCAAGCGGAACTTATTGTTCTCAGGGCCTTCACGGCCTTTATTTATAATAAAATCTTCGGTGTTACAATCAGTGTAATAAATGTAATAAATTCCATAAATTCCGTAAATGTAATAAATGTAATAAATTCCATAAATCCCATCAGTGTAATAAATGTAATAAATTCCATAAAGTTGATAAATTTTTAGTAAATTATTGGTAAATAAAGAGTGTCAAGTCTTGTCATGTTAAGTTTACTAGTAAATGGTGGCTTTGAAATAAAGTGAATGCTGCTAGTATGCTAGATATGATTGTTCTTTAGCGCAATATATTTTTTTACGAACAAGAAATAATCCAACACACAAACCGATAAAACCTAATATGCCAAAAATTATTCCAACTATTGTACTATTATTCAAAGAGTTGAACGATGAGGAAAGGGATGATGCCGTATTTCTAATAATTTTAGTACCAGTTTGACAATCAAAAATAAAAGAATTGGTTTCTACCTTTTTAAGGAGAGTATTACTACAATCAAAAGAAATGGGATCAAAAGAATCAGGCAAAATTAATTTAGTAAGTGGATTATATGAGCAGTTTAATATTTGTAAATTTCCACTTTCGCTCAAATCTAACTCAAAAATTGCATTATCACTAACATCAAAATGAGTGATAGCATTTTGAGTAACTTTGATTCCATCCATTTTATTATGAGATAGATTTAATTTTTGAAGAAAAGGAGTAACGAATAGCCAAGTTCCCGGAAATAGGTTATAAGAACAATCGAATATTTCTACTGTACTTCTCCAACCCCAAAAATATCCAGTTAATTGATTAAAGGAGCAGTTTATTATCCTCAACCCTAAAAAATCGGTTGAATTAAATTTGTCTTCTAAGCTTTTATGACTAATGTCTAATTCGATTATTTGGCTTCTATTTCCTTTTGGGTAATTTTGGTCTAAATATTCTGTTGCATTTACCATCTTTTCAGAGAAATAACCGTTTTTCAATTAAAAGTGTGTATTCAAAGAAAATTTTTCTAGAAAATTGCCCAAATTGACTTTTCAAAATATTAAAGCAGAAAATAAAGTATTCAAATTAACAAAGAAGTTTATTCTGAATTAAAAAATTCAAATAAGAATAGAGTATGTTCACATTATGTCAATGATTTATTTACAAATATATAGAGGGAAATTATAGCTTTTCAGATTGATAATTCAAAAAGCCTTTCCTCTTTCAATTGAAGCAAGTACGAAATTTGGATAGTTACGAGGTTATAAACACGAAATAAATGATGTGAAACCTTTATTAAGAAATATGTACTTGTGATTTTTATTATATATCGTAACAGCTAGTTACTCAGAGTAACAAACAAGAAAATTATGTTAAACCCATCTGTAACGTCATTTGATTGTAATTAGTACTGTAGTATACCATTTGACGTTAGTCAACTTAACCGTTTAATCAACAAATATCCTGCGCATTTATAAAAAGGAACTTTTAAAATTATCTTCTTCACAAAATGAGCTTCTAGTTAAACAGATAGTTCTTCTAATATTTTATATTTTTGTTGTCAAAAGCGTTCTTATTTATCATTAAAGTGATGTTCTGATATCGATATCAAATGCTTCTTATTTTTCTTTACTTTGTTTGAAGTAGAGATCACCTTATCACTGCATCGTGCTTAACAGTCATAGATCATAATTTATATATAATAAACAATTTTGTAAATTTGGTATAATTAATTTGTAACTCTGGTCATATGGGCTAAAATTTCCAGTCGGAACATCGTGATTATTAAAAAGTTAATGTGATATTAATAGTGACGAAAATAAATATAAAAATTTATAAAGTAACTACGTATATAAAAATTGACAAGAGCTGTAAACAATTAAGATTAATTATATGACTGACTATAAAATTTATAGAGTAATCATATAAAAACTGATAAGAGCTTGTAAGCTATTTAAAGACCCATAAGTATACATTATTGGGCAAAAATTTGTGAATAACGGCAATTTGGCTCAACCGGGCAAATGATATTGGCTGTCAAGTGCCGCGAAGCGGCACTTGTCAGCCAATCATTTGTCCGGTTGAGCCAAATTGCCGT